ATTACAGCACATAAACAGGCCATTTAGCCCAACTCGTCATTAACAGTATCTGCTCCATATGACATTCTAACCATCTTAGATCATCTTTTCCTATTAGTATAATCTTGTCTTGCTTACTCTTCACGTTTTTCTTCAATTTTATATTAGACGCATCTATATATTGGATAGCTGCTAACGAAATTCTATGCAAGCATTATAAAAGAAAATGGTAGAATTTATACAAGATCAGTGTAAAATTTCTGTAACCATTGTTGAGTTTGCTTTGGGAGGAAAGGGTTAGCACACTGCGTAATGAGTAGCCTGGTACTGCTTGAGGGTGTGAGAATCTGTTAACCTCCTGTGGTACTGAAAATATTGCCTTTTGAACTCATGAACTGATGATGAGCCAGTTATGTTGTTTTACCATTCCATTAATTTGCCAAAACACTATGCTGCTCTTAGCAACCGTCTAATCACTGGGCAGATATGTCCTGCTCCACTAAATTTAAGATTGAAAATTGTCATGCAGTTTGTATGAAATACCTATATGCAGCTTCTAAAGTGTATTTTAATGATCAAAAATGGTATGATTATAAGCTGTCAAGGTGACTGTGGTTGATGAGTTTTGAGAAGCATCAAGTAGATCAGTATTGTTTTGAGAAGCAATTTGTTTATTTTTATTTACAAGAGTAGCCTTTTCCCGTATGAATTGCTACTTAACTTTAAAACATGTTTATATATTTTATTGTACACAAGTCCGATTTTAAACACTAAAATACAAAGCTCAAATATGGAGAATAGATGACTGTTCCTCAACAAAAAATAGCACAAACGTGGTTGTATTGAGAACATTTAATTTTGAAATTATGTTGTAAATTTTGTGTTGCATTAAACACAGTTCAAAGGATTTTATTGTTAAGAAAATTGCTTGTTGAGAGACTTCCAAGAAAAGGAATTCAAATTTATTCCACTAGGTGTTTTCTTTCTGTTGTAAAGGATTTCAGTTTAATAAATAAAGGAAACAAATCGGTATCATGTCCTGAAATGTAAGAACTTTTAATATGAAGTGCAAGCAGTCTAAAAGCTGACTTATCTTGTGCATGCGTTTAGGAGCTTTCAGAATGGCTGTTTTTCAGAGAATCTAAATGTTCCACTGTAACTATTCCATTAGGGGAAACAAGCGTGCTATATGGAGGCTAGTTCTGAGATATAGATATTAACAAGTAAACCTGTCTTCTGAGTTAGCCAGTCACGTACCAGTTTTGCATTGTACTCCTTTTTCAACAGAGAATTTGAAAAACTGCAATTTGGGGTAATTTAGTGAGCTTAATTCTTGAGCAAGGAGCAGTACTCTCAAATTTTTCTTAATTTTGAACGTTTTAAATTGTGCACTTCATGTAACTTTTCTAGAAATGCATGAATTGATTTTTTTATATTGGTGAAACTAGGATGGTTCTCCTTGGAGCAAAGGAAGTCGAGTGGAGATTCAACAGGCATGAAAGATTATATTACTAGAAAAAAGAAAGCTGATGTTACAAGGATTAGAGACCACATTTTAAGACTTGGGTATAAGATTCAGAGGGGATGTGAGGAAGAACTTTTTTTAATATTTTAAGTGGTAGTGACCTTAGACTTCTGCAGACAAGGTTTTGGAAGTGGAGACAATTCGTGATTCCTAAAAGAGGTTGAAGGGTTATGGGAGTAGACCAAGGAAATATGACTGTTGGGGTTGCCATGAGAAATCTGGCATGTGCTACATTGGCTGAATAATCTCCTCTTGTACCATAATGGTGACTTTATGATTAACTGTAAAATGAAAAACAAAATGAATAACCAAAGTTAACTGCATATATTTACAACAACGTGTAGTACTATTTTAAAGCAATCCATTGTATTTAAATATTTTAAAAGTGTAAATCCCACCACTCACTATGGTGCATTGGTGTTAAAACAAATAACCCTCTAAATAGTGGACATTTAATACACTAGTGCTTACAGTGCTATCTTGTAATGAGTGATGAATACCTGGAAGTGAGGAACACAGGACTTTGACAGCTGAGAGTTTATGGTTGACAGTGAATGAATGATGCTTCCTTTCGGAGGGTTGTGAATACGCCATCATTGAATATATTTAAGGCTGGGATGGGTAGATTTTTGATATCTCGGAATTCAGGTATATGGGGAGCTGACAGGAAAGTGGAATTGAAGTCCAGGGTCAGCAAATATTGTAATGAGTTGGTGGAACAGGCTTAGTGGATCCTATTATCTAGTCCTGCTCCTCCTTCAGCGTTACAGTTGCTTGCAGACATTTGTACTAGAAGTTGTAGTCCAAAATAGCATGATGCCCTCTAGATGGAATGTGGGATTTAAGTGAACAGGCAAAATCACTGTTTTTCCACTTAGATCAAAAGATCTTCACAAAGCCATACAGTCTGAATCAGGAAGTTTAAGTTACAATGATTCATTCGAATAGAAAGTGGAACAGAGAAAGATGGGTTTAAGAAGTGTAGCTACTAAAGCTAGAAATACGTTTTAGAAAAAGTACTAAATTTTTAAAATTTACAATAATAATTTAAACCTGAAGTAATGTGATTCCAAATCTAAAAAAGTTAATTTTCAGTGCCGTGGAGGTCATTTGGCAGTAATAAAGGCTTGTTGCACTATTAAAGATTAACTTAGAATGGAAAGGACAAACCTAACTTTATCTGGGGTATTTAGTGTGTAACTATCAAGCAAGAACCCTACTTTATGTCTTTGTATATATTTAAATGTTGAGTCTTTTATTGAGAAATTGTTGCAGCAAAGCTCCTAGGAGAGCACAATATTCCTGATGGCCTTTTGGTTTTACAGATTAACTGTGCATCTTCAGTTGTTATTAGCTGCTGTCCATTATACATCAGTAAAGCTGGGTGCTGACAACCACAGTGCAGTAAAAGTAACAAAGACACCTTGCAATCCGAGTGGTGAAAATATATTTAGTACTGCTAGCTGCCTTTCCACTATGATGGATGCAGACTATGGCATTCATTGCTGAGGCACATGTTTCTCAAGTGAATAGTTAATTCTGAAATAATTTGAATTGGTGACCTACTGTACTATTAAATGTCTTAAAATATACTTTGGCGTAATTTTTAGTAGTATTTTTACTGGCAGAATGCTGCTTAACACATGAGAAATTTACCTAGTAACTTTGAGCATGGTAAGGACGTTGCTTTGGCCTTCTTAAGTTCATTCTGTGGGCATATGTGTTAGCTACTTCTTCATGGCCAAAGATTACATTTCTCCAACAGTTAATCAGTGAGACTTTCTATAGGTTCTGTTGATGTAACCCTGACTTCAGTACTTCAGTATTACATGAAACAATAATACTTGGAATGGATGTGGAGTGTAATGATGTATAAAATAGAAAAATGGAAAAGAAGACAGCAACTTTCGTAGCAAGAATATTGTGGGTGCAACCTGCCTGAAATTTGTGTGCATGACTTTATCTTTTAATCTATTTTTTGGATACTGAACTTGGCATTTCCTGGTTCTCCTCCCTTTTCTCAGGTTTAGGCCTAAAAGCTCCCATCCTTGGCATTTATAATTTTTGCACCAAGTCATCCTCTTATACTTCTTGATTTCCTTAACATTCTTGCCTCTCCCAACTATGTTACACAAAACCTTTCTTTGAAGATCTCTGACTGGTAGCAGATTCTCCAACCTCTTCGTTTGACTCATTCCTCTATTTAACACTGTGTCTTTGTACTGTAATTTTCTTTTGTTTGCTTGTGCAAATTTGCTTATTACTTAGTCCCTTTATCAGTGTCACAATGTTAATTGTACAGTCACTCTGATGTTTTTTCATTTTCTGGTTTGTTATTCCTACCAGATCCTGAATGTCTTTTGATTATTGTCCCTAATAGCACAATATTGACATGTTCATGAATTTGTAGAATATAACTATTCCATTACCAGCTTAACTCATGCCAGGTTTAACTTTGAACGCTTAGATTGCACCCTTTCCCCATGCATTCTTCCTACTACTACAACTTTGCTCTAGAGGGCAGAAACGACACCAAAACATGTTTCCTCCAATTCATACTGTTTGTCCTGAGTGTCTTCATCCAAATCCTTTCTTCCCACTGTTGATGTGAAATGAGAAACGTTCATGAATTTGTTTATAACCGAAACTGAAACCATCTGCATAAGCTGCCTTAGCCTCATCTGGTATTTCCCCTACGATAATGGTAATTCTGGATTTGTTCAACTTAGTTGTTTTATATAATCCAAGTTGACCTTCCTTTCTCGTGTCAATCTGTTATCAAGATTATCTTTTCTTCGCCTCTGGAACATTTTCTGTCTTACTGCCCCGACTCCACAAATTCAACTTCGTCAGCATTCAGCAAACTATATTTTCCTCATATAGACTTTGGCACTGATGATTTTTGTCCTTGTTAATTATCATTCTTAGCCAGCAAATTACTTAAGACCTTCATGCCCATGATACCTATTCATCCAATTTTCTATTTTGTCTGATTAATAAACATTAATTCTGCACATTCTCCAGTCCCATCACCTTGGATTATTAACTTGTTCCCCTGTTCCGTGCAGTCCACTATTATGTCGTTCCCAAAGCCACTTTGTAACTAGCCTTTGGAAATTATATTCAAGATCTGGTCATCTTGTGCTGTCAAATACATTTAAAAAACCTTATTTTCTTAATTGTGTCTTCATACCCACAGCTGCTGAATGCTTTTTTATCTTGTGTGAATTATTATGACCCCCAGCTGATGTTATTACTAGACAAGTCTGATCTCAGCCTGAAATCTGGCTTGATAGATCACACAATATCTATCTTTTATCCTTTCTAAGTTTGAGATATTGTTCCTCGATAGGAATTCTGTCAAACTGTAAATTGTTATTTTGGTAATTGGTATAATCTTTTATTATTCTAGTTTAAGCTGCGTACAACTCTGCATTTCATGCTTCCTGCTAGCCAGCCAGCATTAATAATTATGTTCCTGTATGTTTTCATGCAGCATCAGCACGTGTTAGTACTGTAACCAGGCGGCGTATTTCTCCAGGAAGCAATTCCACCTGGGAGAAGAAGAGTGTCACAATGTCAAACATTGCCATTGACCCGGACATCAAACCTGGGGAATATGTTATTAAGAGCCTCTTTGCTGAATTCACAGTTCAGGCTGAAAAAAAGATTGAAGTTGTAATGGCTGAACCATTGGTAAGTAGAATTTTAGTTTTAAACAAATCTTAAGACAAGAGGGACACAGTGCTGTGTTCCTCCAGCTCCACACTGTGTTCGACTCTGACTCCAGCACCTGCAGTTCTTGCTATCTCTTAAGAGAAGAGGGTTGATTTCTTATCACAAGAACTACCATACCCCTGCCAAACTGCACTTTGAGCAGTCCTCTTGTACCTTTCCTGACCATGAATTAATGTTGGAGAAATGCTGTGAAGTCCCCATTAATGCTACTTTGTATCTGATTGTATTGGAGTAGCCTTGGGCAGCTGGTCCTGTTGATTGTTGCCCCTTCCATCTTTACTGACCAACTGAAGGCAGAGAAATTTTGATCCTCTGGAAATCCCTCTCTTAAATCTCTAGCTCTTTACTTCCCTCATTGCTTTTAAAAGTTTTTCAATGTCATCTCTTCAATTAAATTTCTCTCAATGGCTGGATCTCTGTTCTTTTTCCTCATTTACAAAGCAGTTTGGAATGTTGTTCTACTTTAAAAGTATTATGAAAATGCAACGCAATGCATTGTTTATTAGTAATTTCATTTTTTTTATACATACAATCAGTGGACTTGAAATCTGAACAAAAAACTTCCAGTATTCTCTTTTATTTTAGCCTTAAAAATGTGGCTATCTAACGTGGATGAAGTAAAAATGTTTGAACCATTTAGTCAGGTTTACATACAGGAATACCATCTTGGCATAGGGGATTGATCAAAATGTGATTGATTTTTGTGGTGGTAGGTAGTTTTTGATTTTTTTTTTGGTGGCTACAGCAGTTTTCTACATGGTTGTCTGCAGTTAACTGATTTTTAAAAAAATCCAGTCAGCATGGGTTATGATAACAGATAATTATTATTTTGATCTTAGTTTTCACTTTACAAACCTTTGCTCCCTTTCCATTATGTCTACAGCTATAGGAATGTCACATTTTTTTAGTAATATAGTGTTCGTCATTCTGTATGGGAGAAAATTAGATGAAAATGTTAATGCATATTTAGCAGAAACGATGCCGTCATTTCATCCTGTAAAAAAAATTCTGATAACTCCACAAAAATTACAAGTTAAATAGACAAGATAATGTAAGAAGTGAAGGTTTATTTTTAAAACAAATCATAATTTTAGTAGAATTTTGAATAAAGATAAATGGCTATTTCTAAAGCAGGATTTGTTTCAGCACCTATTTGAAACTAGGGATAAAGCTGAAGATACACTGTTGAGAAGTCTGTTGAGATTCATCTTGTTGTAATGTTTTACACTCTGCGGAATTTTAGAGAACATTAGTTACAGAACAGAAGTAGCATATAGTAGGAAACAGTTCGAAAGAAAAGAATACCTTAAGCACAGTGAACGTAATGTGAAATCTTTCTTATTAGATATTTTAATCCAGACAGGATTACCATACTACTGAGAAGAAAGGTAATCAAATTATGACCCCATAAACTGTGGAATTCTTATCCCTGAAGTCCAAGGTACCTCAGTTCCATATGAACTTTTTAAAATGGTTGTTGTCCTTTTCAATTCTGAGATCCTATTGGTATCGGGCGGGATTTTGCTCTTTTGTTTCATTGCCTGTAAATCCCAAATCAGAAAACTAAAATTGGTTAGGTTCAGCAATTAATTGCAGGATGTATTTTAAAAATATGTGGTCCACCAAGCTTCATGATTCAAAGTTAAAGCTCAGAAACCATGCATTGTGGCACAATGCACTAACTTGGAATAATTCTAGTTTTTACTGTCAAATTATCACTCCTGGTCAACAATCAGACCTGGTAAATAGGTTTGTTATTAATATCCTGAAATATTACATGCTCATGCAGCTTGCTTATAGAATGTTGCCTTGAACTGATATGATCTTCAGCAGGTTTGGCAACTTGGAAATGTTTCACCCCCTGAAATATCCTGTTATTTTTCTACTCAAAGAATAATCATTTGTAAATGATTTAAATATTTGACAAATGTGGATTTGAGTCCTTGCTTGTGGACGAAAGAACTTGAGCTCTACATGGCTAGTATGATGAGTAGTACAATTCTTTATTAAGTGCTTTACCGTCATTTTACTGATACAAGATGTAGAATTGCTGACTGATAGAGCTTATTGATCATAGTTTCTCCAAGACTTCAGGGGAGTGAATTACTTTCTGGTGAATCAAAGTGAACTTATAGAATCATTGAGATGTATAGCATGGAAACAGACCATGCGGTCCAACTCTTCCATGCTGACCAGATAGCCTGAATAAATCTAGTCCCATTTGCCAGCATTTGGCCCATATCCCTCTAAACGCTTGCACAGAAACATAGAAGATGTGAGCAGGAGAAGGCCATTCAGCCCTCAAGCCTGCTCTGCCATTCATCACGATCATGGCTGATCGTCCAACTCAATACACTAATCCTGCTTTTTCCCCATAACCTTTGATCCCATTCCTGGAATTCAGACGAGTGAGGGAGGAGACCTCATAGAGACTGCTAACATTCTAACAGGACTAGATAGGGTAGATGCAGGGAGGATGTTCCCAGTGGTGGATGTGTCCAGAACCAGGGGCCACAGTCTGAGGATTCGGGGTAGACCATTAGGATGGAGATGAGACATTTCTTCACCCAAAGAGTGTAATTCATTACGACAGGAAGTAGTTAATGCCAAAACTTTGAATGTATTCAAGAGGTGGCTAGATATAACACTTGGGGCCCTTCCTATTCATATACTGATCCACTTGCCTTTTAAATGTTGTAATTGTACCAGCCTCCACCACTTCCTCTGACAGTTCATTCCACACACATACCACCCTCTGTGTGAAAAAGTTGCCTCCCGTTCTGCCTCTTATCCTCTGAAGTCAGGAACAATGCATGGTTCTTGGTGCTTCAGGAACTGAAAGAACTGTGGATGCTATAAATCAGAATCAAAAACAGAAATTGCTGGAAAAGCTCAGCAGGTTTATAAAATCATGAGTGGCGAGGATAAGGTGAATAGCCAAGGTCATTTCCCCCGAGTGGGGAGTCCAAAATTAGAGGGCAAAGATTTAAGGTGAAAGAGGAAGGATTTAAAATAGGCCTAAGGGGCAGTGTTTTCACACAGGGAGTGGTGCATATATGGAATGAGCTGCCATAGGAAGTGGTGGAGATTGGTACAATTACAATATTTAAAAGGCATCTGGATGGGTATATGAATAGGAAAGATTTAGAAGGATAACGGCCAAATGCCTGCAAATGGGACTAGATGAATTTAGGACATCTGGTCGACATGGACAAGTTGGACGGCAGGGACTGTTTCCGTGCTCTCCAGCTCTATGACTGAGGTGTGGTAGCATCTGTGGAGAGAAATCAGAGTTAACGTTTCAGGTTGAGTGATCCTTCCTCAGAACTGATGTAGCTAGAAAAATGTCAGCTTGTTTGCAGGAGAGGTTGGAGGGAGGGGTAAGGAATAAACGATGGGTGGGGACAGAGCCCAAAAAGAGAAGAGAGGAGTGGGTCAAACAAAGGAGTGGATAATGATCTGGCTAGGAGTTTGAATAGCTATTAATGGGGACTGTTGGTGGCTGACAATGGGTTGTGTGTTATAGTAGACTGTGATAACAAGGTCTGGTGTGTGGAGGTTAGTGTAAGGACATGGCAGAACTGAAGCCATAAAGTTATTGACCTCTGTTGAGTCCAGAAGACTGCAGGGTCTCCAAGTGGAAAATGTGGTGCTGTTCTTCCAGCTTACGCTGAGCTTCGCTGGAACATTGCAGCAAGCCTGAGACAGAGATATTGGCCAGGGAACAGGGTGGTGTGTTGAAGTGACAGGCAACTGGAAAGCTGAGGGTCTTTTCTGCGGACAGAATATAGGTGTTCTGTGAAGCGGTCGCCCAGTCTCCGCTTTGTTTCCCCAATGTAGAAGAGACCACATTGTGAGCAGTGAATGTAGTAGACTAGACTGTGCGAAGTGCAGGCAAAGCGCTGCTTCACCTGGAAAATGTGCTCAGATACTGAGGAAGGAGGAAATAAACAGACAAGCGTTACACTGTCACTCCCACCACCACCACCCCCCCCCCCCTTCCCCCCCCCCCCCCCCCAACCCCCATCCCCCTTCTCCTGCAGCTGCAGAAGGTGTAATACCTGTCTGTTTACTTCAACCATTTTTAGCCATTTAGGCCTGTGTCAAGACCTCTATAACATTAACGTCAATGTCCTTAAAAAAAATTGCAAGGATTGTTTTCATCACAATAGGGAGTATTGCTATAGTATTCACCAGTGACTATTTTAAGGAAGGATTAATTTAGGAATCTTACTGTATCTTGAGTTTCATTCCAATAAAACAAATTATCAAAGCCCAGAAGCTGTTTTTCTGCATTTAACCCACTTAATCTGATTTTATTCTTCTGCGTTCTCCATATTTCTGTGTCATTGTCATTTTTCAGGCAAACATTAACTTCTCTTTTAAAGGAATGTGTGAACCCTGTAATAGGGATTTGCAGTAGGGAATGGCTGGATCAAATAATCTGGTATTACATGTGTACATCGCGGGAGGTGATGACCTCGTGGTATTATTGCTGGACTGTTAATCCAGAGACCGAGATAACGTTCTGGGGACCTGGGTTTGAATCCCACCACGGCAGATGGTGGAATTTGAATTCAATGAATATCTGGAATTAAGAATCTAGTGATGACCATGAATCTATTGCCGATTGTCAGGAAAAACCCACCTGGTTCAGTAATGCCCTTTAGGGAAGGAACCTGCCATCCCTACCTGGTCTGGCCTACATGTGACTCCAGACCCACAGCAATGTGGTTGACTGTGAACTGCCCTCTGGGCAATTAGGAATGGGCAATAAATGCTGACCTACCCAGCGATGCCCTCATCCTGCGAATAAATAAAAAAAGGCTATTGTTTCATAGATCAGTGTGTCTGTGTGTGCGCACGCGCAAGAAGTTACTTTTCATTCAAAGGAAATCAGGAATATTTGTGATAGTAGGAACTGCAGATGCTGGAGAATCCGAGACAACAAGGTGCAG